TATCCAGTCACAACTTTATATATATCAATAATTTATGGAAAAGGGGTGGGATTACATATGTGGGTTTTTTTTTTCTCATTCCTTTTTGAATACGTAGACCTTGTCCAGAATTGTGAAATATTTATTTTGCTGTGTGCTTTTGTTTTGTGTGTATGTGTATGGATAGGTTTGTATATATAATATTAATTCTTTGTTTACTTGGTAAATATTCTAAATATCTCAATCAAAACATCACTCCGGCTCACTGATGATTGGTCGGAGGCCGTAGTCACTGTGTTGTGATGTCGCCTGACCTTCGTTGATTGGCTGCATGAGGTCATGTGATTCTGCCCCTGGCCAGTTTTAAAACCTGCTGAAGTGACCATATTTGGTTCTCTGCCTGATAAATGGTCCTGTTGAAAATATTTTATTCTCTCTGTAGCTCTTTTGCGTCCTTGGTAGCGGCTCTCGACACAACAGCGAGCAATAATGATTCACATTATTGATTTACTGTTTAGAACACACTTTCCTCAGTGGGAATGCTTCACATCAGCAAATCTGATTTGACTTGTTTTGGCCCGTATCCTGGCTGGTTTTCAGAGCCCTCTCTGTAATCTCTCACAGTACTTCTTGCTTATATCGTATTTTAATTCACAGTGCAGAAATTTGCCGGCGTTTGTTTTTATGCGTTCCTCCCACTGTGAGCGGTCCAGATTGTGCCGTGTAAGAGCAGGGCTGCATGAAGCTCAGCAGTGCTGTACCCTGGCGCCGGTCCACCCTGTCAGGGCCGGCATTTGGTCGCTGTGACGAGGTCTTTCTCCGCACAGCTCCTCCAACACAGCGGGTCAGAAGGGTCAGCCCTTCTGAAGCAGCCTTCGTCACACAGTTTGGAGTATCAGGCGGTACGATAGCATAGCCCGAGTCTCTGTGACTCACAAGTGAACTTCATTTTCCAAAGTAAAGAGANATTAGCCTTTTCTTTTATGGATTTATTTTTGATTAATGTTGCCACATTATTTATTCTTTATTTTATCTATTCATCTTTTAATTTCCACTTTTATTATTCTTTTATTGATTTATTTTTGTAATTTTGGCACTCCTCCATAGTCCACCGTTGAACTACACACAACCAAATGGTTCTGACCAATCAGAAAATGTTTACACTTACACTTTTACGTGTTTTTATTTATTAAAGTCTGCGTTGTTTAGGTTTAGCTTTACCAGGAGTGCCCAATCCTGGTCCTCGAGGGCCACAGTCCTGCATGGTTTAGATGTTTCCCTCTTCCAACACACCTGATTCAAATGATCAGGATCGTTATCAGACTTCTGCAGAACTTGATGAGCTGATCATTTGAATCAGGTGTGTTGGAAGAGGGACACATCTAGAACATGCAGGATTGTGGCCAGCGAGGACCAGGACAAGACTATACATTCAGGCCAAGTTTAGGTACAGTCCATATCTTTAATCAGTTGATTATACTGTGTGTGAGTTCTCATGCACTTCTTCAGGGTTTCTGAGTAAGTGGCCAAAAAACGATTATTTGACCTGAAGGAATCTGATGAAACAACAACAGCATAAATAAATAATGATGGTCTTCACACTCCTGTATAATTACTACTCATAGGTCACATCTGATAAGAACTTTTTCTGACCAGTATTTTTTCATGTTGCTGAAGTAAATGACAGTAAATGTAAAAATAAAATAAAATAAAATTTAGAACAGACACTAAGTCAGGGATCTCCAACTCCGCTCCTCGTGAGCTCCTGTCTTGCAGGTTTGAGACGTCTCCGTGCTGCTACACACCTGACTCACATTAACAGACTTGCGCAGAACTTGACAACAAGCTGTTGGAGATCCATTAATGTGAGTCAGGTGTGTTGCAGTAACATCTAAAACCTGCAGGACAGCAGCTCACGAGGACCGGAGTTGGAGATTCCTGCACTAAGTGATGGACGCGCCTCCTCCTGGACCACTACGTCGTGAAGCTCCCTGCGTTTATCAGCCTCACACCTACAAGAAACCTACATGCGTTTCAAAATTAAAGCAGCGCACCGATTCCAGCATTTCTGGCTCCACATTCACGACATGAAGTGAACTCTCTGACCTACGATGTGCATCCACTTTACTGTGCTTTCTTCTTGTGTGGTGTTTTTCAAATTAAACTGCTGTACCTGAACGTTCGTGGGGCTTTTACGCTGCAGGTGGAGCCGGAAGTCCACTTCCCTTCTCTCTAACTTGACGGACCTCTCGCTCGGCTCCTGCTCCGAGCCTCCGGGATGCTGTGCAGGCGGGCGGGGCCGTTCTTCCTTGCAGTGCCCTGCCATGGAGTGATGTAGCAGGACGCAGGGGGACGCAGAGGGAAGCACAGCAGACCTTGGCTACGGTTGGGGTTTTTTTTTAAATAAGTAAATAAAATTCGTTAAAATCTGCACCTCTGTCTTCTGAAAGCACAATGGATTTACCTGCTAACCGAGTGTAGCGTCAACAGCGTCGGAGCCTGACACACGGACATCTTGATTCTCTCCCCTCAGGAAACCGGAGCGTGCAGGAATATTTCCCCGGTTTCGGTGGCAGCCAGTGTAGCAGCGGGACTCGGCACAGCTCAGCATGGCGTGGCCCTGCATCAGCAGGGCGTGCTGCATGGCCCGCTTCTGGAACCAGCTGGACAAGGCTGACATTGCGGTGCCTTTGGTGTTCACCAAGTACACGGACGTCTCTGAGATGCAGCACATCCAGCTGCAGCCGCCGCTCCACCCTGCGCAGGCCCGGGTCGCCATAGAAACGCAGCCGTCTCGCGCCGAAAGCCGCACCGCTCCGGCGGCACGCGCGCCGCGGAGGTGCGTCTCCGAGGAGCGCGTGTGCAGCTCGGTGATGCGCGAGGACTTTAAGCACTGGAAAGTTCGGCCCGAACCGAGCTGTAAACCCAAGAACGAGTACCACGGACCCGAGACGCCGTTCAACAGCGAGACCCAGTACCAGAAGGACTTCAAGCCCTGGCCCATCCCCAAAAGGTACGACCACCCCTGGATACCCAAACCCCCCGCGGACGACCGGGCCCGGGACCGGTCCAGGCACGCCAAGCAGAAGCTGGCGGAGGCGGACAGCGGCGTGGAGAAGAGCGCTATCGCCGACAAGGTGCAGGAGAAAGACCTGCTGCAGGGCCCGGAGAGGAAAAAGCGCTCCGCGGGCAAGAAGGACGGCGAGAAGAAGGTGGCGGTGAAGGCGGAGGGAGAGGGCCGAGGGCGGGCGGCGGCGGACGCGGTCAACAGACAGATCAGAGAGGAGATCACAGGAGGCAGCTCGTACAAGTGAGTGGACGCACCGGAGACAGCGGGGGGGTCAGCGGGGTCACAGGGGTCAACACTGGACATCACAGGAAGCTGAACACACTCCAACATGTCAACAATATGAGGCAACAGTTTGCATCAGTCTGTGAGAGTTCTGACAAGTTCTAGTGAAGTTCTCTCCAACCAACAACTTACACTGAATTAGTTTTAATGACTTTAAATTGTCCAGATATTTGGGGAGGTGGACAAAAATGTAGTGATCAAGCCAGTTTCATTAGGTTCCACTTTAATTTAGTTTTAATGCATATTGTGTTGATGTAATTACTAACATTATCTCAACCCAACCCACCAAAACAGTGTTTATCTGAACCAGTAAATTAGATTTTAACAGCTTCCAACAATTCTTTTGCATCAAATTGTCAAAAATATTTTAGGATTGCATGAAAATTATTCAGGTTTAAAAAGCAAATCCCCAAAGCAGCTTGATTTTCGTTGACTAAAAAAGATGCAACAGCCAGCCGTATTGTAATATTCTGAACTAAAACACACTTTATCTTTAAGTTAACAGCAATACGTGCACAACCAACCTCAGACGGTTCAGTTTCCATCGTCACCCAGTGACACAGTTAACGTGCAATTATCAGAATGTGTTTTATTGCCAAGTAGGTTTTCACACACCAGGACTTTGACTGCATCACCGTAAACACCGACGAGTAGAGCGTTTAAAGAAAGATAGAAGATGCTTTTTAAAGCGAGCGTTACGAGACAAATGAGAAGCAACAATCAACAACAAAATGATGCATCCCTACTTTTCTATTTTAAGAGCTGTCACTGTCATGTTATATCTCACATCCACAGCAAAAACAAGCTCCCCCTTTACTAAATTATTTCCACTTCCATTATTTCCCCTTACTATATTTAGTGTATTTTATTTTAATGGGATGATGCAGGATTATTTAGTTCCAAGCGTACAAATAACATCTACAGCTTTCATTCCCTGAAAAACCCAGCACATTACAGACATGGCAGTACAATAAAACACCTATAATAATATTCACTGTTGTAATATGTAAGAGGGAATGAACTAAATATGGCCCTTCAGTCGCTGTGAACGATTATATATATGTGTGTGTGTGATTAATCTGATTTGAGCTGGTGATTTGTCCCAGCCCTCTATGCAGAATTGTCCAAATTTAGACCTACGATGTGGTAGATCTAAATTTAGTTCCTCTGTTACTGCCTCGTCTTGCGATATATGTGGAAAGAGGCTCCGGAGCTCAACCGTCGGTACGTTTGAGGGCAAAATAAGTGACGCTCGATGAAGGTTGTTGTCTGTCTGTTACCTGGAGAGCCAGTTTGTATATTGATGTTCTTTGTGATGCTTAATTCCAAATCTAATTTTTATAAAAAGGAAATTAGTAAATCAATAAATGAAGGTTGCCACACAGACCGTCAGTAAATGGAGGGAATCCTGTGCAAAGCTTTGTTGCACTGCAGCCCTGAGAACTGTGAATTCCTCCACAATGCATGAGTTTAATGGGGGGTGACTAACACGACAGTTGTTCCACAAACCCCAGCATGTGAAAACAATACATCAAGTTCTGTTTTCTCCACAGAACGTAATTACATTGAGCGGAAAGGTCAAGGTGGAGCTGCTGTAAACACTGCTGATGTTTAGGTCTGGAGGGCTAATCTCTGTCCTGTTATGCAATGTTTCCGAGGATGATGGCGACTGGTGGATGGATGAACATCAAGTCACACGTGTCGCGGTCGCTGTGCGCATGCCTCGGGCCTCTGGAGGCTCAGCATCCTTCTTACAGGCTGCAGTTCTCTGCCGTGCAGGCTGCTGGTTGTGAGACATACTGAAGGAAATCCATGTCACACCCGCCTCCTGTGCTTCTTTGTCCCTGTTGTCATATTCGTGTTTGTTAGGAGTCTGTCCTGCCTTAAAAAAGCTGTCTAAATTCTCTCGCTGTACAACACATTCTCTCAGGATGATGTGAGCCGCTGTTATCTCTTGGCTCCGTGCTGTCACAGAATGCAGCGCTGGCTTGTTAGAGGAGGCCTGGCTGGAGGCTGACTCGGCTGGCAGAGGGCAACGGTGCTCCGTGAGATCAGTGAGTGAGCCTTACAGCTGTTCGGTGCCGTGCTGGCGTGCCTGTGTTGCTGAGCAGTCAGCAGGGTGCAGCCCAGGGCGCTTCACCTCCACATGGCATGAAATGGCTGCACGGCGACAAGCAGAAGCCCAGTCAGTCAGCTCTCTGTCTTCGTCTGCCAGTGGAGACCCGAAGCAGGTCAGCTGTGGGTTAATGGCACGGATAGTCTGCACACACACACACACACACACACACACACACACACAGTATGAGTATGTTTCCATGTTGTTTGTACTGCTTTTCATGGCTAAGCTATACTGTATAAACAGACAGGCCAACCAGAGCTGATCCCTCATGGGGTGGGGTGATGCAGCTGGAGTCACAATCACAACATTACTGACAATATCTTCAGGATATTGGCTCCACCAGTGTGTTCACATCTGACTAAGTTGCTCCTGTGTGTGACAGATAAACTCAAAATAACCAAATTTCTTCATTCAGAGCTACAGTTTATCTGGAATCATTAATTCAGAGACCTTAAGTATTTAAAATGGCAGCTCTTCACCCTTCAATCTCCCACTAGATGATTTGGATTCACCCCACTTCTGTTTGGATCTTGGACTGAGATGTGTTGATATGCTTTTGGTTCGGGTCGTTAAATACAGTTTTTAGGTATTTTTGACATCCTTTAACTATGTTGGACAGAATAACAGACTGTTTTGCTCTAAGAACTTTGGTGAATGTCATCCAACTTGTGAAGTCTCAGGGTTCAGGAGAGCTTCAGTAACAACTTCCATCCATCCATCATCTCTGCACCTTAATCCTCACTAGGGTCGCGGGGGGGTGGAATCGATCCCAGTTGACTTAGGCAGCCTGGACAGGTCGCCACCTACGGACAATTTAGAATCACCAATTAACCTCAGCATGTTTGTGGACTGTGGGAGGAAGCCAGAGAACCTGGAGAGAACCCACGCTGCAC